AAATACTCTTAGTACAATTTACTCCTAAAATCTCCAGAAGGGTACCCTCTTGCCTGCAGATATATCTTCCTCTTAACAGGCAAAAACAGACAAATCAGGTATCATTACTTTTTTTAATTCATTCAATAATGCTCTCTACCCTTAATTTAAAAACAAAAAATGGGTTGGTTGAAATTTTTCTCTTTCCAAAATACAAAACTAAAAAATAAAGTATAACTTTTTGTAACCCATTAATTTTTGTCCTATGAGTCACCTATTCTGAACAGAAGTACCTCATGCCTCTCTACATTCTATGGACCTCTACTATTTTGTCAAAGATAAAAATATAATTTTAAATTTCAAGGTGATTAAGATCTATTAAGATAATTTTCAAATATAGCACCAAAACAACCTTTGAAATTTTATTATGATGTTACTTCAAGTCGTATTTTTATCTGTATTTTTCAATGGACCAGAAGTTTTAACAGTCCACCAAAAAAAAAAAAAAAAAAAATTTTTTTTTTTTTTTTGCTTTTCCCATATTACATAATAATTCTGAAGACTAGCAATCCCTTAAGCAAGTCAAAAATATGAGATGGGAAAACTGTTAGGAACATCACATCATGATTTCTATATTTATTATACTTTGTATCTAGAAACATTGCTTCCTTTACTCCATTACCTGAATTATCAAAAGATCACTCTATTCTGCAGGAACAAAATCAATTATGGTGAGTGATAACTTCTTGTTTCTTACAATCAAGCAGCTTCTTCCTTCTCTAAGTAAAGGGTTTCTTCATCCTTTCAACCAGCAGAGATCAAACTACTGACCAGAGTGCATGTAAATTCCAAATATCTTTAAGACTCAGTTCATGCCTGAAACTGCTAACTTAAAAAAAAAAAAAAACCAAAAAAAAAACAACCTCTACAACAAAAAGACAAACAATCCAATTAAAAAATTGGCAAAGGTAATGAACAGACACTTCACCAAAGAAGACATCCAAATAGCCAAAAGACACATGAGGAAATGCTCTCGATCACTAGCCATTAGAGAAATGCAAATTAAAACCACAATGAGATACCATCTCACCCCGGCATTACTGGCACGAATCAAAAACACTGGAAATAACAAATGTTGGAGGGGGTGCGGGGAGATCGGAACTCTTATGCACTGCTGGTGGGAATGCAAAAGGATACAACCATTTTGGAAAATGATATGGCACTTCCTCAGAAAGCTAGAAATAGACATACCATTCGATCCAGCAATCCCACTCCTAGGAATATATCCTAGAGAAATAAGAGTCGTCACTCGAATAGACATATGCACACCTATGTTCATGGCACCACTGTTCACAATAGCAAAACGATGGAAACAACCTAGATGCCCATCAATAGATGAATGGATAAATAAACTATGGTACATACACACAATGGAGTACTATGCAACGAGAAAGAACAACAATGAATCTGTGAACCATCTCATAACATGGATGAAACTGGAGGACATTATGCTGAGTGAAATAAGTCAATCACAAAAGGACAAATATTGTATGAGACCTCTACTGTAAAAACCCATGAAAAAGTTCACACACAAAATATAACCATCTTTGTTGGTTACCAGGGATGGGAGGGGTGGGGAAATACTAAATAGGCAATAGATAAGTGGCATCTTGGGTGAAGGGTGAGACAGTACACAATACAGGGGAAACTAGCACAACTTGTACAAGGAAAGGTCATGGAAGCCCCACAGACACATCCAAACTCCCTGAGGGACTGAAGTGCTGGGCGGAGGGCTGTGGGGACCATGGTCTCGGGGAACATCTAGCTCAATTGGCATGACACAGCTTATAAAGACAATGCTCTACATTCTACCTTGGTCTTAAAAGCCTGTGAGCAGCCATCTAAGATACTCCACTGGTCTCATCCCTTCGGGAGCAAGGGAGAATGAAGAGAACAGGATACAAGGAAAAGATTAGTCCGAAGGACTAATGGACCACAGCTACCAAGGCCTCCACCAGACTGAGTCGAGTATAGCTAGATGGTGCCCCGCTACTACCACTGACTGCTCTGACCGGGATTACAACAGAGGGTTCTGGACAGAGATGGAGAAGGATGTAGAACATAATTCTAACTCACAAAAAAAAAGACCAGATTTACTGGCCTAAAGGAGACTGGAGAAACCCCAAGAGCATGGTCCCCAGACACCCTTTTAGCTCAGTGGTGAAGTTATCTCCGAGGTTCACCGTTCAGCCTGGGAATGGACAGCCCCGTAAAACCAAATGAGACTAACGAGGTACAGTAGTCCAGTGACAAGGGCCAGAAGGCAAAAGGGGACAGGAAAGCTGGTGATAGGGAACCCAAGTTTGAGTAAAGATATTGTTGATGTGTTGTGAGATTGTTAACCATTGTCATAGGGCAACATTTGTAGTAACTGTTAAATGAGAAACTATTTTGTTCTATAAGCCTTCATCTTAAGTGAGAATAGCAGCACAACTGGAAGAGCGTAGTCAATGTCACTGAACTGTGTATATAGAAATTTTTGAAACGGTGTATCTTTGGCTATTTGTATTTTCACCAAAAAAAAAAGGTTGAGAAGTTAGAGGGTTGACATGTTGTGGGGTTGTTAATCAATGTCATAAAACAATATGCGCACTACTGTTTCATGAGAAACTATTTGTTCTGTAAGCCTTCACCTGAAGTACAATTAAAAAAAAAAAAATCAAAGCAAATACTTCAAAAATACAGATGACTACTGAACAATGACTTGAAGAAAGCAATGGTAAAATATTTCCTATAGGTAATACTACATGGTAACAGAAGGTATTAAATTTCTGGTCAAGATATAATATACTAAGGCCATGATTTTTTTTTCTTTACTTCAGGTTCTTATTTTTCAAGTTCTTCCAAACAAAAAGACAAATGATTTAACTATTCATTATTGTATGACTTTTAATAAAGAGAAAAGAAGAGGGATTTTTTTTTTATTTTTAATATGTTTACAATATTAAAACAATTTCTATGTTTGCAATGTGTTGGCTGACCTATGAGCTTCTTTTATCACCCATTGTATCAGCATACCACAGCTGCCAAATATATATATATCTAAGCACCCCTCAAAATAATAATAAAGTAAGCAATCCCTGGAAAAATGGTATAAGGTGTTGTAAGTACAGTGGCTGATTTCTAAACTTTAACATCATGAACACATACATCCTCCCTTTCCTTCAACTAACCCCAAAAGCCTAGGTAAAATAAATAAATATAACCACCAAAATATTTTAGCGTATTTTTCCTTATAAGAATGTATTTTACATGAGGAATCAGGGGTGGAAAGGAGGAGTGGTGTCACAGCATCAGAAGAACAATTCAAGTCACATAACAATGTATGTATAAATTTTTGTACAGGAAAAAAAAATTTTTTTAAATGTATTTTAACCAGAAAAGCCTCACCCACTTCCTAACTTTTTTCTCTACCATTTTCATTCATTCTGTTCAATCCTGTTTATCGGTAAGAGAACTCGTGTTACTGCTAAAGATCAGATAATTATTGTTGTCATCCCATCAAGAATGCTCTTCCTAGTAACTAAACTCTAACATTACAGTTGGCACCTGGACCATTCACTATTTACACCACCACCCTTCTCCCCTTCCCTTCACCACCATTTTACTGGCAGAACATGCACAAGGCTGAAGACTGTTTTTATCTCAGCAAACAGAATACTTAAAATCATATTGCTAGCCACAAACCAGAAATTAGAGCTATATAAAAATAAACACAAGCCTTCCTAAATTTCTGTTCTCAATACCTAAAGAAAGCAGTAGCATCTTCTTTATATTGTAACATCCAAAGTTACAGTTAGGAGCCTTCTGTCAAATTATACTAATAAATTGATTTAATGAGATCATTTTGCCTTCAGATCATGTCCTCCATACACTAATGTACTTTAATTAAATCCATTTTACCATTCTAGGTTCTTTGTCTCACATTTTTTAAATATTCTTCTAATATCACTCCTTAAGTACTAAATTATTTCTCCATATTTTCCTAAATATTAAATCTATGCACAGAAAGATAACTCTGAAAACTAAACCCAGAAAAGAGAAATCAACATACCATGAATATATGAATACGAAACATCAACATTAAGTATAAACTATTAGGTAACCAAGAGGAAGGGAAGTATCAACTGTTTGCCCAAGAACCTCAATTTAAAACATTATGTAGTATACACAATTTTGGTAAACAAAAGTGAACACAATATTTACTATACAATTACAGCATCTTTTCTGACTTGAGATAAAAATATCTGAATTCTATTTAATAAGGAAAAATAGTCATTTTAATAAAATATCTCCTTACAGGTATAATGATTTGACTGACAAATAAAATAACTGCTTTAAAAATACTTCTGAGTCATTTTGTCCTTACCTGCAGGCATGAACCATTACTGCATGCAGTGACTGTTCCATTTCCTAGCACAGACTTGAAGGAGCATCATATCTCTCTTTCAGAATATGACTAATCTGTGGATTTGCAATTCCAAAGCTATTTACAAACAGCACTCCCTTTCCACATAAGAAAATATTATAACAAATTAGCAAATATTTTTCAACTAAATCTTACAAATAACCTTGGTAAATTTTGTGTAGCAGCAACCTCAAAACACAGGAAGAAAATCGGATAGCAGCATTTCCTTAAAGAAAGCAAGATTTTTAAAAATCTCTTTGGTTTTTTGGCTAAATAATTTTTTAAAGCCCTCAACAGCTGTCACATATGAACCAGCGGTCTGCTGTGTTATGGTGTGCATGCTGCAGCTGATTAGGCTCCACTATTTCTTAAAAAATCAATTATCCTTTGCAAAAGCAGAACAGCTTGCCCAAATACACATCTTCAAGACAACACAATGACCAGCATGCAGTACAATATGTTACAGCAAACTTGACAAGAAAAAAAAAATGCCTTGATTTGTTTCTTAGCAATGCTACACCATTAATTGTTCATGCAAGAGATGTAGCTGTACCTTTCTGAAGAGGACGACTTCTCAGAGTTAACTGACATCAGCAGCTCAATCTTCTGCTTGATTTCTGGAAAAATCAGAAAATATTCACAACCAAGATTGCCTGCCCTTGCTTTCAAGCCTTATTATCAAGAGATTTTTCTTCTCTAATCCCTTTTGTTCAGAACAAGGCCACAAGATTCGCAGTACTTCTTTTAGGTCTGGGATTCAATGGTGCTATAAAGGGAAAAAGCTCCAGAGGCATCCGGCCTTGCTAAACTATGCACATGACTGTTTATGAAAGCAGGAAGTACCATTTCTTTTAAGCAGAGGGGTGTTTTCTTTTTTAAGGTAGAACTAACATGGCTCTACAAGAGGATTTCATATTCAGCAAATTAAAATTCAAACAAGAAATGCTAAAATCTGAATTCAATACACTAGGTAATTGGAGAAGCCTGGGTAATAAAGTTACAAGCTGTAATGAACAGACACAAAACCCTTGGCTGCTTCTATTTTACTAGCCCTGAAAAATATGGCTCAGTGAATCATTTTGGTCACTTAAGAATGAAATATTAAACCAGAACCCCGGTTAGAGATTTTAAAAAAATTTTAACCTATGTTATAATTTCTTGATTGTCTTTAATTAAAGATATAGATATATATAACATCTAGACTCTAACTCCTCTAGAAAAAGATTTCGTATTTTATACCTTAATTTTCCCCTCCTCCTTCACAGTACAGTACAAGTGAACAGCAACATCCAGTTACTGAGATGAGATAATATACTTGTCCTTTTAGGAAAGGACTGACAATGCCATCTACCAACAAAAATGTAAGCACCAGTTCAATTTAATTAAAAGATATATGCTGATGCTGACTTGGAAAGTAGATAATAGATTAAACCGGAAGGAGGAGTGAAAATAAGACAGAGAGAAAAAAGGGAAAGAAAAAAAAAACTAACCTGTTCCCCTTAAAACACTAATGACTGACCTAAAACACATAATTTTGAGTGAGTAAAATTTACATGGTCCTATCAGCCAGACTATTTACTTATAAAGCTGTTTTCCTATTCTTAAAAGTATTTCCAAATGGATTTTAAAAATTAAAGTATGCTTTCCTAATAGTTTGTATACTCAACATAAAACACAGTGCCACTGAAATGTTATAAGCAGTCTCAGGATTTCAAAGTAGACTTTAATAGTTTTTTTGTTTTATAAGGTAAAACAAATTTAAAATTTTAAGAACATTGACTATAGAAATCAAAGTGGAATATGAGAAAATGTAAAGGAAAAATGGGGGAAAATTAGTTGCATAAAATACAATGGACCTATACAGGAATATCCTCTCAAATGTTGTTAAGATGTTTTCCTAATTATTTATTTTAAGCTTACAACTTCAACCGATGGACATTATAAAACTGGCATGAATTATCTGCTGACAGAGTAGAATCTACCACAGGCTGGAGCCAAACTGCCTAACTACTGAGGAGAGCACAGAGCACAGTGGTTAAAATGAGGATGACAATAATGAAACTTACCTTGAATATTTTTTACATGGATTACAGAGCCCAGCACATGGTGACACAGGCAGTGCTTAGTAGTGTCCCTCCCCTCTTCTTAAAAGAGCATGGCATTTAGGAGTGCAGGCTCTGCCCTCAGTCTTAGATTTGAAAGCAGGCTCCTCCATCCTTTTTAACAGCCATAAGACCTTGGAGAAATTAAACTCTCTATGCCTCTCTATTTTGCTGTAAAATGGGGATAATAATAATTCCTACTTGAAGCGCTGTTGTGAGGATTTAATAAAATCCTGCTTAGCATGTAGTAAGCCCTCCCTCCCTATTACTATGTAGTACCTAGCGAAGGATAGTAACCCCTCAATTAATGTTTATGGGATGAGTTTATGAGGTATACTAGGTCCGGCCAATTTTAAATAGCTTTCTATAGTTTAAATCCTCTAACCACCAGCCTCAACATCCACTTTTTTATTACTATAGTGTTACTACATATGGAGATTTAGCTTTAATTTATATATCAGCCTCCCTTTCTAGAAAATTATTTTTAGTTTATAAAGTCTTTGCAGAAATGAGGTTACACTTGAATCCACCTTCATCCTGGCAATGTTTTATTCCGAAAAAACAAAAAGTTCACAATTCAGTATATATTTATAAAATCAGGGCACTTAAGCTGAAAGACCCCCAAGATTCAACTACACACACTTAATGAAATGTATGCCAGTCTTGTAAACATTACAAAGAAAAGTTTAAACTATAAACCATTTTCTGGCTGATAACCTTGGGAGCTCCAAACTAAAGAGGAGTCTAATTTACATGAAAGGATTTCCAACATTGTTTCCACATTTTCTTCAAGCCTTCAGATTTATTTATACCTCCAGAAAGACTAAAGTGTTCAGGAATGTTTACAAACACTATGTTAACATTGAATCCTTTGAGATCTGTATATTACATCTATGGTACTAGCTACTCCTCCTTATCAATACCATCCACGGATCTGGTATACTTATTAAGAACTCCAGTGGCCATTTCACTGACTTCCATTTCATCACAACTGCCATAGCCCTGGGGGACTCTGAAGTCCAGGTGGATATGACTTCCTAAAACCCTAGGCTCAGGACTATGACCTCCTCAATCCATAGTCTGGTCAATGTCTGTTATCACTTGAGTTATTCACTCTCATGATTACATGTAGGACACTCTCTTATACATGCTGCAAATATTTCCCCAAATCAGTTGTTGTTTTTCAATTTTATTCACAGTATCTGAGACCATACACTTTATCATTATGCAATTAAGGTGACCAATTTTTTCCTTTATGAATTATGGTTTTCTGTTAAACTTAGAAAGGCCTTCCCCATACCAATTTTTTTTTTTAACCTTCATCCCATTTTCCTCTTATACAATTTATAAATTTCTTTTACACGTAAATTATAGGTCCCTCTAGATTTATTCTGGTCTTAAGGACTGATGTAGAGATTCAGTCTGGTTTTATAGATCACATTTTAAAACCTTACACTGCCCTCAATTCTTAATTATTCTCTTCACACCCACCCATTTGTTCTTCCAAAGCAGCAGTCTTGCAACCTTGTAATTACATATTAATTCAACCCTCTACTATATCCACTAGCACATTCAGGTGAATGAGTGCTTCAAAAAGAAAAAAAAGTTCCATAAATTTAATTACAAAATAGCTTCCCTGGAAGTTTCATCCATGTTCCCTGTGGAATCTATCCTCCACACTGTTACACTGAACCAAACCAAAAAAAAAAAAAAACTAAACCCCCTGCCAACAAGTTGATTCCAACTCAGAGTGACCGTACAGGACAGAGCAGAACTGCCCCATAGGGTTTCCAAGGAGCAGCTGGTAGATTCAAATAGCCAACCTTTTGGATAGCAGCCGAGCTCATAACCACCGTACCGCAAGGGCTAACACTTAACCAGTGCTCTTAAAATGTTTTGTCATAGAACTGTATGTCACACTGATCAACTCCTTCTTCCATCTCTGTCTTTATAATCCTTTACCATCTGTCCTCATAATCCCACCCCTATTCCTACCTGAAGACTACACTTCCTTATTTCACACAGAAAACAGGTGGGAGTTGGTTCCATTACAGTTTGAATTAATACATTTAAAATTATGATTAATTTGTTTTTAGTCATGATTTTGTTTTACATTTCTAAATAATATTAAGGGAGGACTTTTGTTTGTTTTTTAATAATGCTTTTCTGTATTTATGATTCTCCTCCTAACTCTGGATTGCCTTCTTGCACCCAGCTCTTAAAACTTTATGCTCTTCTCTTCTCATTCGACCTACTCTTCTATCTACACCCTTGATATCAACATGACCACATCTGAATCTTCAGCAACCCAAACCATATATCCTTCTAACCCTGCTAGGCATTCTTCACCTAGATTGTCCCTGGATGCCTTGAATGCAATGTCCACAAGTGAACTCATCAACTTCCCATATATTTCCCTTCTATAGACTTTATCTCAGTGAACAGCAACACCATTGCCCTTCCGAGTCAAAAATTTTGTTAAGAATCCTACGCTAGTACCCCATCTTATTTGGGGAATCATTCTTACCATTCCCTCTACTTTATATTTTAGGCTCTGGAAATACTGAACTCTATGTGATTCCCACGCACACCATGTTTTATTATATCACTAAATCTCTTCTTACCCAGTTTCCTCTCCCTGGGATGCCACTGTACAGTTTGTCTCCCTGGTACACCCAGCTCACTTTTCCAAGCTCAGTCCAAATGTCACCTCTTCCCTGACGTTTTCCCAGGAAGAATTAAGTACTCTTCCTCTGTCCCACTGTATATCATACTCACTTGCATTACAGAATTATTAAAATATATTAATTACTTGTTTGACTCCCCATGATTTCCTTGAGGATCCAAAAAACCAAACCTGTTGTCATCAAGTCGATTCTGATCCATAGTGACCCTACAGGACAGAGTAGAACTGCCCCATAGAGTTTCCAAGGCTGTAAACTTTACAGAAGCAGACTGCCACATCTTTCTCCTACAGAGAGGCTGGTGGGTTTGAACCACCAACCTTTCAGTTAGCAGCCGAGAGTTTAACCACTGCACCACCAGGGTTCCTTTCCTTGAGGGTAAAACCAAAACCCAAACCTACTGCTGGTAAAGTTGATTCTGACTCACAGCAATCCTATAATGACCCTGTAGGACAGAGTAAAACTGCCCCACAGGGTTTTCAAAACTGTAAATCTTTACGGAGGCGGACTGTCACATCCTGTTCCTGCTGATTAGCTGGTGGGTTTGAACCGCCAACCTTTTGGTTAGCAGATGAGTACTTTAATCACTGTGCCACCAGGGTTTCTTTCCTTAAGGATAACCAAAAAAAATTCAAACCCATTGCCGTCAAATTGATTCTGAGTCACAGCGACCCTACAGGACAGAGAAGAACTGCCCCACAGGGTTTCCAAGGAGCAGCTGGTGGATTCCAACTGCCTACATTTTGGTTAGCAGCAGACCTCTTAACCACTGCACCACCAGGGCTCCACCATAAGGACAGGGAGGGACCTGAATTACCACTTCAATTCACAGAGGGTCTTACATATCACAGGCACTTCATACTCTTCTTACCCTGTTTGAGTTAATACAGTTAGTTAATCTTAAGGTTACAGTCTAGCTAGGCTAAATTTCTCTATTCTTAAATACATAACTGGTGGCAATTTCCCCATATTCTCCACAAAAAGGAAAAAAAAAAAAGTCTCTAAAACCTATAGCTAAATTTCCAAGGACCCT